ATTCACCAATCTCAAACACGAGTTCTTCAAATGCTGGCCACCTCCTAAGCGCCCTAAGCTCACACAAGCGCAACAGAAGGAACACATTATGGTGCAAGTGTTAAAGGAGGAAGAAATTGGAGTATGGACGCAAGAAGGAAGAACGGGTAACTATGTGCATGTAACCTGGGTGCTCAACGTTTCATGTTTAGCAATGGGAATGGGTGATGTGGATGGTACAATGATTGAGTATGTGCTAGAGGGTATCCTGGACTTGTTGAAAGACCACCTCAAGTGCGTCTACAACTCATGAGACAAATTCATGGATGATATCCAAGACGTGCCAAATGTTAAGCTCAAACAAGGGCACGAGAATCTGGACAAGGAACAGGCACAAGATGTAGAAATCTCTAAACTCAAGATGCAAAGTGCAGCATTCTCTTCACTGGCCCCACAACAATTCATGCACCATGCATCTACCATGAACTTCCCTGCACCAACACAATCACCAAACACCCTTAATCCATTGTTGTTTGTGGCAAACACAGGCATGCCAACATGGCATACGGTAACAACAGGGGAGCATTTGCCCCATGAGCACAGATGTCTCGCACCCAGATCTTAGAAAGGGTGGCCCTTGTACCACAGAGGCCCAATATGGAGTCTGGAATAAGGCAGTACGAGGCAGACATCAGCCTATGGCACAGGTCTTACAGTATGGAGGGCACTCCATCATTAGAACAACCATATCCCTTGTGTCCAGGAACAGCTATATTGGGTTTGGGAGAGTGTTATAGTTGTGGGATGGTCACAGAACTGACACACCTTAGCTCACAGTGCACAGCCTCAAGCCAGCTGCATCCACACAAGACTCGATGGTGTCAGTATGTGGCAGGGTTGTTATGGCAGGCAACACAACAACAGACATCGCGAGCTTCATTCCCCACACCAGTCCAATATGTTGCCACAATGCACCATCCATACCTTCAGCCTCAAAATAACACAGTGCCCACACCAGTCTATCATATCGTACCACAGGAGGAAACCGGTTGGGGAGACCCATATGAAGGGACAGGTACTCCAGACCAAGAATACGAGTGGAGCTCAGAAAACTATGGGGGACCACTGCAAATGGTGGACCAGCAGTAGTCCCACAAGATTCGAGTCCATCCTCCAACCATTCACTCATGTCAACAAAGCAAGAACATTTCACTTTTTCATCCTCTGCAGCACTGCAAGCACTCAATAATGTACATACTGAGAATGGATCGTTTATGCCTCCCAAGTCACTTTTTCATCCCTCACAAGCTAACTCATTGCCAGTTAGTACTCCCTTGACTACAGATCTTTCTTCTTCAGTTATGGACATAGTAACATCGTCTGAGAATCTATCATCGAGCGCACACCTGGTTGTACCCTCCACTATATCTAGCAATACTATCACTGATGTTTATCTGTTGGATGATGCGGGGCAAGCAATCAGAACTCAAACAAGCAATCCATTCATGGCAGTACCACACCTGCATGGACCACAAGGAGAAAAAATATGAATCCTGGCTATAGTCAACAATGGCACCATGATCAATGCAATTGACACAGCAGCCTTTCAGCAAATTGCAAGAAGACTCTCTCCACTAAGTCCATCCTCCAGAACACTTTGTATGGCTAATGGCTCATTAGTACTGTCAACTGGTGTATGGACGGGGACAATCTCCTGGGGACCAATCAATATTCAAACATCCTTTGAAGTATTTCCTAGTGGAGGCTCGTGGTGCATGCTAATTGGAAAACCACTATTGGAACAAGTGTGTGCAATACACGACTACAGTAGTGACACGATACTACTCCTGCATGGTAATGACTTCCATCGAATTTTGAACTTCACTACATTTCAACCATTACTGACTCCCTGTTTACCTACAGCCATCCATTTCCCATCTAGTACCACCTTTAATCGATCCATACCATCTTTGATGCTTATATCTCAACAAAACAGTAATAATAATATCTTGCATGTATCTACTATAATACCACCCATAGATGTACATAAACTCGAACTAATCACTAACATCTTAATAGAGCAAACAGATTCAGTGGGAGAACAAGATCTTCAACCAGTCTTTGAAGTGGAAGACATGGAGCAAGCATCCACAACAGGTGATGTACTAGATCCATCAACCTTGATACTACCCAATGATGTCTTCACTAGATTGACTGAATGCGGACCATTCTGGCCAGCAAGAGTAGAAGCAGTCGTGAATGCAGTCCATTATGGAGACTACCTCATGGAGGACCAACGAACTCAAGTTCAAGCACTCATTGTGGAATTCACAGATGTGTTTGCACTATCAGTATGAGAGGTGAAACCGGTAGACTTCATCAAATTTCAACTGCAGATCCCACCAGATGTGACGTTCACAAAGAAGGTACATCAACGACCATTAATGAGGCTGCAGCAAGAATACCTATTCCCAGTATTGGACAACATGTGGGAAGCAGGGATTACAAGATTCATCAAATTGGACGAGGTTAAGGCCATCGCATCAACAGTCCTGGTCCAGAAGACACATGCAGGAACAAGCCTCTTGATGGATGACATACAACAAATTGTCAATGAACAATGCATTGCACTCAGTGAGCCTCTGGACTTAGATATCAACATGGACTTAGTATTGGCAGCAGAACCAAGGTCAAAGTCAACCAATGCACTGAAAGTTAAATGGCGCATCTGCCAGAACTTCAATGACATCAACAAAGTGTCTCAGGTTGCACCAACACCACAAGGAGACATCGCAGCGAAGCAGCAACATCTAGCAGGACATGAATATATTTGCGTATTGGACTTCACAGCCAGATTCTATGCAATACCAGTAGAGGAAGACAGTCAGCCATATCTATGTTTCTATATGGAAGGACGAGGATACAAAGCATATTGTCAAATGCCAATGGGCGTACAAGGAGCCCCGTCATGCTTTAGCGACCTCACAGCAATGGCCTTGTCAGATATCCTAGTCAAACTGCTCATGGAGTTATACATCGATGATGGCGCAATGGCGGGAAATGTATTCAGTGAATTGTTGAATCGCTTACACATGTTTTTTACCAGGTGCAGAGAATGAGATCTGTCAATATCACCCACTAAAATGCAACTGTTTATGAACGAGGTTATTTTTGGAGGAGCACAAGTGGGGTGAGAAGGCATATGGCCAGACCTAACAAAGATTGCCACAGTTGCTGAGTGGCTGGTCCCATCAAACCTGCTAGAACTGATGTGCTTCTTAGGTTTGACAGGATACTTTAGATCATTGATTAAAGACTATGCTCACATTGCAGGACCACTCATGGATATGTTATGCAACCTAGATGCACCGCCAATTAGTGCAAAAGGAGGAAAATGTAAGTATAGGCAGTTTTTGAGAGAACGCAAACTCAAAACCTTCTGGGAGCAACAACACACTCACACATTCCTGAAACTCAAGCAGATCCTCTTAATGGAACCAGTACTCAAAGCACCCACATTTGATGGATCACCATTCATCGTCATTAGTGATGGATGCAAAGACAGCTTTGGAGCAGTATTAGCACAACGATTCCCATTCCAAGAGACATCAGGTGAAATGACTACCAGGATACATCCAATTGCATTCGTGTTGAAATGGACTTCACCAACAGAAGAATGGTACATGCCATACTTGTTGGAGTTTGCAGCATTGAAGTATGCATTTGACCAGTTTGGATCAATCATTTGGGGCTTTCCAGTCGAGATTGAAACAGATTGTATTGCACTGAGAGATACACTATTGAACAATAAACTGTCAATAGTGCATGCCAGATGGTGAGATGGCATCATAGCTTACCAGATTGCAGATGTACAACATCGTTCAGGCGCAAGCAACATGGCAGCAGATGCTCTTAGTCAGAGAGCATCAGGACAACCTCAGAAGGACGGAGACAGCAGCACATGGTCAGTGAGCGAAGACTGGGAAGCAGAACATGGACTGGTGAATGATTTATTCCTCATACAACAGACTGACTCTACCTCCGAAACATTAGTGACAGAATTATGTGGCCAATTCAAAGAGGAACCGCTTTTCCTGGAGGTCATAGAGGCATTGTTCAACCTCAATAGCAACAAACCAGAGTGAGAACATAGATGAGCACAGCACAGAGCACTGGGGTACATAGTCGAGGATGGACAACTATGGCGCATCGCAGATGGCAAAACGACTCAAGCACGGACACGTGTAGAGTGCGTCACAAAGAAGGAAGCAGTAGTGTTAGCAAGAGAAGCACATGCAAATAATGGGCATTGGGGGAGAGACCTCACCAAGTTACAACTCATGGATCAGATTGCAAGCCCATCTCTAGACCGATCCATTGTGACAGCACTCCTTGAATGCCCACAGTGCAAGAATTTCGGATCAACTCAGCTACACGCACTGATGTATCCCATTACAAGACAACATCTGTTCAAGTTACTAGTTGTGGACTACCTCTTGTTACCGAAAAGCAAAGGAGGGTACCATAACACCTTGCTAGTTCTCGACACGTATTCCCAATATGTCTGGGGGTTCAAACTAAAGACATACGGCACCGCAAAGACCATGATTGCAGGGCTGAATGCAATTGTACACAGCTTCCAAGCACCGGAAACATTTATGACAGATGGAGGGTTGCATTTTGACAACAGAGACGTACGTGCATGGTGCTTGGCACATAACGTGAAGTGCCATGTCGTGGCAGCCTATTCACCATGGATCAATGGATTAGTGGAGAATGCCAATGGGAAGTTGTTAGGACAGCTGAAGTGCTTGTGTAGCCCAAGGGTAGGAGAGGATGAAGAAGAGAATGCAAAGGCAGAAGATCTGATGTGGAAGTGGCCAGATCACTTTGACAAAGTGATCCAGCAACTCAATGAACGCATCATCCCAGCATTCCAATTCTCACTGAAAGAACTCCTTCTAGGATTGGTGGTCAACACTACCCCCACAGCTATCACAGACACAAGCAACAAACTAACCATGTTGGAAGTGGATGTTCATATGGCATACATGGACCAGCAGCACCTGGATGGAGCAAATCACACAGCAGCACATGCGATGAAACAGAAGAGTATTTTTGATAAGCAAGTCATGTGGTCACATGCAGGAGAAGTCATATTCGAACCAGGACAGCTAGTCCAGATCTATGCAAATGCTACAGACATGACAATGGCAAGCTCGAGGAAACTTGTACTGAAGTGGTCAGCACCCAGGCAAGTGGTTTCTCGCATTAGCAACTCTTATACTCTCACTTCTCTAGAAGGGTTCCCCATCAAAGGCCTATTCCATGCACAACAGCTTCGAAGATTTATTCCATGAAATGGTACCACACTAGTGGCACTGCAAGAAGCACTACAGGATAAAAGTGCAGATGAGAAGGAAGACGAATCATGGGAGGTGCAGTTGAAGATAGGAACCATATCAGAATACAACCCAGAATCAGAAGATGAGGATATGGGAGAAGAAGCAGACACAAGACCAGGATAGATTGAGATGTGACCCTGGAGGGACACATTTGGAGAGGGGGCAAATGTAGTGGGGAGCATTGGGTGAGAGCCAGGGAGATGAGGGCAGCAGGATGATGTGGTTAGGGAGATGCAGAGGTTAGGGGAGCAAGGACCCAACCAGCAGATTCCGGGGTCCTGGGCTCAGAGTCCATGAGCATATAGTATACACACATGTACAACAGAGAGACACACATGACTATATACTGTCTTCACCCTCTTCTGAGTGCAAGGCTGGCTTGGACACCACCTGCACTCACTCTTAAACACATGCGCAAAGCTCAAACAGCAGGTCATTCATGTCAATACAAGTAAGTTTATTGTTTCTACCAGTATGTTCAAGGCTTAATGTTGATATAGAAGGGGGAAGTTATGAGCATTTGTGGTCTTGTCCTGTGGTTTGTCACCTATTATCTTGTTGACTCCTACTCTTATGTCTAAAAAGTAAAGCAATTTTTTGGTGTAATTATGGTAATTGATATTGATTGCATTTGGAGTTTGATTTGAGATGACTTTGTGTTGATTGAGTTCACCAGCAGGTCACATGACAATTTCGAAGGTTGAAGGTTAAACTTAGTACTTGAGAGAACATCTGGGAAATGGCCAACTTTGTGGCTAATAGCTCTGGGCAGAATGTAAGCACTACTCAATGGCAGTGATCCAAAAATAGTGCCCACTCATTGTGGTGGGCAGTACACTTGGTACAAAGAATTCTACAAATACATTGAATTTGAACTGCTCTATGCATAAAATATTTGAAATCATGAATGTCATGATAGAGACAGGTGCAGGAGCACCAGGGAGCTCACATAAGTGGACAGTTGGGGCACAAGACATCATTTACATATTTACAAGGGTGGCAGCAGGCACAACTTGAAAGTATGGGAGGGCTCATGTAAGACAGTATGAGAGCAACATGAGAGGAGGCAATTTCTGGGGCTAGAGCAAGTCTCAGCGAGAGTTAAAGATAACAATGCTAACATTTTATTTACCTAGAGCAAGTCTAAGGTATATGTTAGTTAATGTAGAGTACGAACAACGAATATGATGCGTACCTCAGTGAGAGTTAAAGATAACAACACTGAGGTATAATGCTACAAGCTGACATGTATAAGTAGTTTACACAAGGAAGCAAGGAAGCAGTCAGAGCCAATGCTACTGGTAAGACAACACATGGTGTCAAAGGTGCAAGATACAATAAGTGAACAAGAAAAGGAAAGGAAGTTATGAGGTTAATCCCTTGGACTGTTGTCCCGCACTCTCCTGCCAACAGCAATCAATGGTTCCATTAGTTATAAGGGAAAAATATTGTGCAAGTGAGAAAACAGCAGGTGAAGGAGAGGAAGTTAGCAGGAGGTGTTGGAAAGCAGGAGGGTGCAGTGGAAGTACCGTCCACTGGAATATTAGTGCAATAAAACAGCAGAAAAAATAAAAATAGAAAAGAAAAGAAATCTGGTAGGTGGTCAGTTATAAAAGGAGGTGGCAGACAGGAGGGCAGGAGGAGTTATGCTCATTGTTGACTGAGTTGACACAATCTGCATGGTGTCTGACTATGATAGCAGAGTCATAGTAGTAGTTTCCTATGCTCTGATCAATTTGGCACTTACATCAGATAAACAAAATAAATAAACAACCAAGAGAGTTGTTAGGAAAAAGCTTGTAGCTGTTGTTTAGTCATCCATGTGGCTTGCATCATGTAACGAGTGAGTGCTGAATAGGCTACAAGATGAGTCAACCGTGGGAATTTGGACTTAGAACATTTTTCAAGGAATGTATGATGTAGGATGTTGATTAGAAATTGCAACGCCCAAGATCATGAGGTATCAAGAGATCTAATGGGGCTGGCCACTGAAACTTCGAAGGCTCGATCAATTTCTGTTCATGCTGCCAGAAGGAGGAAAGTTTTAGATAATGTATCCTTTTCCAGTTGGGTGGTGGTTTGTAAGCATGGGAAGTGCTGAGAAGATACCTGGTGATTCACATCCAGGATACATCCAGGTTGGACAATGGATAATTATACAATGTGATGTATTGGGATTGATGGATAACTATCCTCTTAAGATGTATTAATATAGCAGTATGAGCTGAAAGGAGTTGATTGCGCTATTTTTCATGATTTTAGGCGCTATTTTAATGACCGGCCAAATTTTGGGGTTTGAGTGACCACAAAGATTGTTATTGGCAGCTCAAATGAAGCTTTGTTCATCTTCAAGTAGTCTAATCATGTGTAAGGCGTCGTTACTGAGGTCTTTCAGAAGGTTGTCTGGAAGCTAACCATAGTTGTCGATTTTGCATGTCCGCAACTGTAGTCATTCTTGGTGTTCTGCTTCTTTCGGGTCTTTGTTCCAATGCAGGTCAGCATCAGCTCTGGCTCTGGAACCCAGTGTGCTCGTCTAAGTCAATTTCAGTCAGCTACTGGCATTAAATATTTTCCAAATGTATGGTTTTCACTCCAAGAATTGGTATGCCTCGATACATTGTCCCAATTGGGCATTCCTGCTTTGTGTTACAGTCGTGGTTACCCCCTGTCTCTTTTTCTCCTTACTTGTGTATTACGTCGTGACCGCACCTGGCTGTGCCATCATTAGACTAAACATCCTTCCATATTTGTATCACAGCACGACCACCATGTGCCATCGCTAGCTGACTCACTCTCTTATCTCTGACTCACTTATGACGTCACTAGATGACTCATTCTCTTATCTCTGACTCAACTGATGACGTGTACGTACCTGCCCTAAAGTACCTACATCTATATAAACTGGGTCATGTACTTAGATAGATCTTCACTTTAATCTACTAGGTTTTACCCAGAACTATCCTTCACTTAGGACCTCCAATCCTAAGTCGTCTGATAACCAATATTCAAGTCAGAGACACTCTCTTTGGCTTGTCTTAAAGCACCTTACATTTGTAAGGCTTTGATCCGGCTTCAAGTGTTACTCTTATCGAGTACTTGTCGTTGCGCCCATCCTAGTCAAAATACAGTTCGCCGTAACACTTTGATCTGATCGCTCTGGACCAAGGTAAAGGCCCTTTCTACCACCACGCAGTGTATCCATTCATCCAAAAAGGTTGAGCCTCACTACAAGACCACAAGGTCTGCTCATCAAACTCAAAGCTCCATTAGGTGTGTTCTGCCCCTAATATTGTGAAATTACTGCCTCAGGCACCGGAGACATTGCAACTATAGCAAGTCACTCCCTGGCAATGCAGTGAACTGCGAATTGCTCCACCTTGGGATCCATCAAGCCAAGCCTGCAAGTCAAATAATACTCCGGTATCTATGCCGCCACCTTGATGGGTTCACAGCTCATTCATAAGAAATAAGAAGCTGCATGATCCATGCATCTTTTTGACCTCTGTTTGCACCTATCTTGACACTCTTTCATATCACATATTGCATCTTCTTCACTTGATTGGTATACAAAGTGCGCATTAAGCCACCTGGCTGTTACATAACTGTATTTAACATGCGTCCCATTGTCGTCCGCACCTCAGCGTTTTCATCACTCGCTGAGACTGTTCCCTAGTGTACAACCTCTCGATGCAGTATTCATCTGACAATATCGCAGCAGCAAAGAGCCTTCAATTCTCTACGGTGCGTCTTCTTGTCGATATGATGGTGAATGATGCTTGACAAGTTCTATCAGTACATATATGGTAAGTAGTACTGTCTGAGCCCCTTGTCCCTTGCCCTAACACAATTCAGCGTCGATAGCTACATTCTGTGTAGGTTTGTCCTCATCTGTTTACACTTGCTGTTAATCTCGCTTATCCAGGTCTATGATTATGCATGTTCACTTCATGAAGAGGTAATACACACGCTCCGTAATATACCTCGGTTTTAATATTTCGATATCTACCGTATGCTGTGCAAAGTGGACATTTTTGCTTCAATCGCACTGGAACAAGGTGAAAGGCCTGTATATTGCTACACGATACCTTCCCTTTATTCTTCTCACTACAAATCTATATAGTGTGTCCCGCTCCAGCAGACATGCCCTGATCATGAACTAACGCTTGTTCTTCAGTGAATTTATCCCCAAATGAGAATCCAGGTGTATGTGATGTTGTGCGCTGAGCAGAGTTAATGAGAACGAACCACTTACTCCATGATTTCTCCAGAGATGCCGGGTGTTGGTCAATATTGACTCAGGTATGTGATTGGTACATTCATGTACACTCATCCTTGCTGAGCACTAATACTTCCCTCTCACAGGTATTGGTATGGTATCGGTCATTTTCTCAGAATGTATCTCTCGTTCATTTGTACTATATGTGTGTTTCTGATCTGATTCATCCAGGTTTTTTCATCCTCAGAACATACGCGCTCTGGAATAATAATAAAATCTTGCTCGCAGCCATGATGTCCACCTTTTTTGTGAGTTCCCGATCCCCTCACCATACCCAAGCCAGTGATAGAGGCATCAGCCAGGCTTTTATCATAGCAGGCTTCACCATTGCCTTCGCTATTACTGTCCCCGCAGCATGTACTCGCTCTTACTTTCCCTATGGTGTTCCACGACCACTGAAAAATTCTGTTCACTTTCATAGATGCAACTAGTGCGATCCCAGGCATCACAGGGTGTTACCAGAGTTCGACCAGTTTCTGGCTCTTCATACCATTTATTCTCCTTTCCGTGTTCGAACTGGGTGGGGATCTGGGAACATATGTATGTATGTAACACACGCTGACAGATATTCTCCCCAGGACTCATGATGCTCACGCTCATACGCACCGCACATAGCTGGCGGATAAACCCAACCCATCTGTACGTTGTCCTGGTGAAACATAACATATTCTATTATACATGTGGTTTTTGTAAGTTAACACTCACACCTGCCGTTTTTTCCATGTTCATACATGATCATTTCTCTTTCCTAAAGTGTTCTCAGTGGTGAACATATTCACATCGCTGCTCCTCCATGTGCGTGAATCTCTCAGATGCCTTTTATGATCGAGTTGTTGATGTCCTGCACCCCAGTATTCCTACCAATACATGTTACATGAGTATGCACCTCCACATCCTGCTGCGCATTCTTACTAACAATACCAAACTTACACCCACGTACAGCTTCCAGTTCGTGATCCTCACAATCCTCGCCACACGCATGCACCTCCATCTCTGGCAGGTGAACCGACATGCATACAGCTCTGGCGCCCTCATGCATATTCCAATGTCTGACATGCCATCTGTGAATTCCATGGCATGATATCTTATCCTGTGGCTTATTCAGTGTTGTTTGTGGAGCGAGACTTGCACTGTACGAGATGACTGGTGGGGGCGTGTTTTGTAGAGAGATAATTTATTTATCTATATACCGCAACAAACTGAAACTTTAAGGATGTGGTGCCCTGCGGGCTGTCTTTGGGTTATTGTACCAAGTATAAGTTGGGGAATAATACGAATAGCTAGAGAGGTCCACGTTTGTGGTGAAGTTGTTGGTTTGCACATGGGGACGCAGTTACACTACAATGTCTTGCTGGTCATGAAGTCGCAGTGTTGCAACCTTGTCACGAATTCCTCATTGCAGTCTACGTTTGCAGACATCCTTGCCTATGTATCAACAAATCAAATTTCTCTGAGCATGAATGAGCATGTTTAGTGGGGGCAAAATTATGATATTCTATAGTTCTCATGGCTACATTATCATGGACCCCTGGATTCAGTGGTCTTGCGAAGTCAAAGGTGGTCTGGTTAGTCATGATGACAGTCCTCTGAATAGGATCTGTTTAGGGCTGCTGCTACAAATCTGTACCTCTGTTTTGGACGTCAAATATCCCAAAAATTCTGCAAGTCATGTTTGTGTCCACTTAGCAACAGGGATACGTTTTACATCGGGATCTCCAAGCAATCCCGCTCGAGTTAGTGTCCAACTCAAAAGTTGTTTCTGCAGTGATTGTAGAAGCAACGTTAGTTCGCGACTTTAGCAGCAATGGACCGACAGGGAGAACGCTCTCCTACTTTGGTGCATAGTAAATGATTTCAAACGTCGGAGGCGGCACCCAGAAACCAATAAGGGAAGTAAATTCCACAAAGAAAATTAGAAACTGCTAGCCCACTAAAGTGGTCGGTTCCAGCCAGCTGCATGCACATACCTTGTTTTTGGGGTTTGGGGTTTGGAGATTTCACTCACCTGGCTCCACAGGGCCCCACTCATCTCACAAGATCTAGGGTCCGGGAGATTCAGTCATATCTTGACGCCGGGCTTGGGAGTACGTCAGCTGGGAAGTCTATTCTATATTGGCGATGTAACCTCCGAGTCAAAGCCTCCTGTTGGTAACTCTCACCTTTTCTGTTGGACTTCCACCCTCGAGGCCTTAATGCCCACGTCTATGATACATATATATACAGTAAACACAATTCTCGACCGTTTTCAGAAACATGGAAGCTGCATAGCGCCACACTTAGCTAACACAGCTTCAGAGTGTCAATGGCATTTTAAAGGTTCTTGGGACTCACTCAACAGTTGGGCGCTGTGCTTCACATTCCTTGCTGGAACCTGTCTACTGCACTTTATGCGATGACCTACCAATCCAAACCTACTTCCAATGGGGTGTATCGCATCAAAGTTCTCAATCAGGATCTTTTCATCGAAAGCGCTTCTGGTAATAACCCAGGGCTGAAGCTTGCTTTGCCTTCTCCAACCAGCAACACACAAAAAGTACGTTAACTAATCACATTTTGTTTTACTACATGCTCAATTTGTGCAGTGGACCCTTACCCAAGTGTCAGGGCAAAACAACGTCTGGACGATAGTCAGCGTCGAGGATGGGTATGGTGTGACCCACAAGAAGACCGCAAAGACCTACTGGGGTTATGGATACCCTTATCCTCAGAATGATCCTTCCTTGAATTGGTCTATATTGGAACGAACCAGTGATGGTCAAACCTTCTCGAAGTCTGTTGCCCTAACCTTATGTCGCTAAAAGTTGTACTTCACATGTGTCACAGGATAAAGCTGAGCAGCAAGTCGAGCTGCTTCGACTCCTGTGATCCAGGATCAGATGCTGTTTGTGCCCGGGTCTACTTTCCTGACATTTTCTCATGCCCTTTTCCTTCACAGGTCCACTTTTATTATGACCATACTCATGTCGTATGTCTTTTATACTCCTTTTGAGACTGTACTCCTACGTGATCATCATCTAAAGTACGATTTTCCCAAACAATGCTTCGTTTTTGAGTTAGTTCCAAACCCTTCTGTGCCACTGTGAGGCTCACTTCATTTTGTGAAAACTGCATGGCACTGATCATAAATTCGACCCAGGGATATCATGTTCCTTCAAGACGCTACAGGGAGTCAACAACCATATATCAACACCGCGCGCAGTGGGATCACCCAGATTTGCAACACTCTTTTAGCCGGGGGAAAATTCACTCCGCAAGATCTCAGATTTGGTCTTATTGCCTTCCGCGACCATCCTCCTCAAGATCTGAGCTTCATCATCCAGGAATACCCTTTCACGTCCGATGTTGGAAGTTTTACTTCTAATTTAGGCGGCTTAACAGCGATGGGCGGTGGAGATGGACCTGAATCTCAAAGTGATGCTTTGTCCGCTGCCTACAAGGCTGACTGGAAGGATGAAGCGACAAAGGTTGTGGTGTTGATTACCGATTCACCCCCGCATGGAATTGGGGAAGATGGAGATCACTTCCCTGAAGGGTGTCCACTTCGTAAATCATACTTTTGTTCTTCAGTTGTAATGAATCAGTGACTAATGCCAAAACAGAAATTGACCCGCTCCGTGTTGCAACGAAAATGGGAAAGGCTGGCATCACTCTGGTATGTCGATCGTTCCAGATCTCATGCTAGAATTTAATGTCAACACAGTATGTGATTGCGTGCGAGCCTTCTCTGGGCCAGGCTTACAAGGTGAGATCTTCTTCATGCTCCCACGTCAGATGTGTTATTGATTACGCAGAGAGCGCGTGATTTCTACCAAGGGTTGGTCAAGAAAACCGGGTAAAACGATCACAGCTTCGACCATATATTCATAAGTTAACTGTTTGTGATAGAGGGAAAGTGGTCAACCTCGGCGATCTCAGTGTGCTACCCACTCTCATTGCTGGTTCCACTCTAGAAGCAGTCGACAGCGAGATTTACGTTGCCAAGTATCAGGCTGAAGTTCGCAGTATGGCGAACGATCAGAAGATGAGCGCCAGCGAAATTCTTCTGAAGCTACACAAGAACTTTGCGGCTGCAGGCATCCAACACACCACCCTCGTCGTCGATAATATGTACGAACAGCATACACAAGGAGATCGGAATGCCGACATATGGTTCAATGCTGAGAATCTCAACGAAGCGAAGCATAATATTCAGGAGGTAAAATATCGAGAAATCTTGTGTTTTTATTTCTTATAACTCTGTCAAGGTTGAAGGCAGTCGTATTATCGAAAAGTACCAGACCCCTGGGGCAGAACAGTCCGCTACTGTAGAGATGCAGCCGATCAGCTTGGCTCAGGTGATTTTTGCCTCACTCGTATCAAATTTTGTAGTGACCCCTTTTATAAGGTTGAGACTGTCATTCAGAAGTGTCTTATGAGAGAATTGTAAGTTTGAAGACCATGTTGTTTTCGCGGATATCGGCATGTATTAGTATTACCCAGTTCGAGTTATGTAACGCCATAGCAAGTCTCATTGAATTGAAAGATCAAGCCCAGTGAAAATCGACAAAATACAGGTAGATATACGTAGATAGAAGCCTAAAAAAATAATCCCTATGAAAAATATTGATACCGTTTGACCTCTTTTGACAAATGAGACTTTTCAAGACGCAAAAAGAAAGACATCAAGAGAAAATTTAGATGTTTAGATGCGATTCTCGCTGCACAGATATCCATTTACATACGAATTTATCACGCGATTTGTTACAAAAACAGATCTAATGAGAGCAAATAAGATTATCTGTAGGTATCGCCAGGGTTAGGGTGGTATCGCAAGCATTACTAGATTGGGTATCGCTGCGCCTAGTGCGCCATCCCGCCCTCCCCGCCCTCCCCGCCCCCTCCCCGCCATCCCGCCCACTATTCATCCTGGTTGTCGTCTGCTTGAGCCAGTCCTGGGGCAGACAGCTATAGAACATGCGGTCAGTACATGTGATAGCAATGCAAAAAACACTCACCTGAACAGCTGCTTTGCACTTGTATAACTAGTGTGATTGTAGACAGGTTAGTTAGATGTTAATAAAAGAAAATTAAACGAACCTCTTTGTCAGCTGTAGACAACCTATTCCAGTAAGTAGCGAAGACACTGGCTGGTTCCTTTTGATGGCCGTTTGACTGCCACTCGAGGGCGCAAAGATTCCTAGACAGATAGTAATGAGCTTAATTACTGAAAAATATGGAATAGGACTCACCGCGCCATGATCTTGGGGCTCACACGCATCGGCTTGGTACTCGGCTGTCGCTTCTTGATGGCATCAGCCTTCGAGTCGATCGTGTTAGCATTGACAAGTTCCATTTTCACAGCGAGTGAAGCCAGATCGGCAAGTGAAGTCGAATTTGAGCTCGATGAGATGTCGGTCATGGATACTGGTGTGATGATGTGTGAGGGCAGGACTACAGCCGGGTTGGATTCAGAACTCGAGGAGACGATAGAAGTTGAGGAATCGATAGAAGTCGGAGGAAGTTTGGGTGGAACGGGTCTGGGCTGAGGTTTCATAAGAAGATTAGAACTACATCAATCGATCAGTAGGATGAATAACAAATTGATCAAGACTTACAGAGGGTTTTTGATCTGGTAAACAAGTGAAGTTAGTGTCTGGTTGGTGCGCTTACAATCCAACTCACCTCTACAATAGGCACCTCTTTGCCTTTGCCTTTATTGGTGCTGGGTGGTGGTGTTGGTTCACGGTCGAGGGAGGGGTGTCGCAGTGTGTCAGGTATCTGTAGACGCATTGATTAGCGAGCTTCAAGAATTAAAAAAAAACTTACCGCTTCATTGGTACTAGTAGAAGGCTCGGTGACAGGCTCGGAGATTATATCTGAATTGATCCGTGCTCGCTTCTTCGTATGTTCCACTTCGAGTTCGTCACCAGGCTCGGCCTTAACGCGCTTGCTGGCTTTCTTGCCCTTGACATGGTAGGTCGACCATTGAGAGTAATTGTCGGTCATCAGCTTCATTGCCTTCCAGTTGTCGGCACACAAACGAAATTCGATATACTCTTTGCGCAGAGTATGAATAAGCCACCGTAAGACTTGCAACGAGGCTTGGCCAATAGACACCGGTGCGAGGCCTTGGGATTGAAGTTGCTGGAAGCTTGAGAGCATATGATTGCGGATGCTCTTCGCACGATCAGCCGAAACAGGCTCGCCTTTCTCGTCCTGCAAGTAAGTACACGACACATTGATGCCTTGCGCCATGCACCCAGATCCTCGAGATGTGCATCTAGAACTTTCGGGTTCAGCGGATGTGCTTTTCGGATATTGTACCTGCCATTCCTTCTTCGTCCACGATCGAATTGACGGATAGTCCTTCCGATCAAGTTCTTGATCGCATTCTTCAGCGACTATCTCGCCCACTAACAAAGGTTTTTGATCGTCGGAAATGATGTTCGAGGTGTCACATGCGGATAGAGATGATGATGTCGATGCTACAGAGCTCGCGGAACCACGGATATTGACAATAACATTCCTGTATTCGATATTTTCAGCATATATGCGCATGTACTCAATAGATTTACTTACTGTAAAGCTTGGCAAGTGGAATTGAGGCCAGCATTTTCGTTGATCAGCCTGAGTCTATCAGCCTGCAGACTGGCGACAGTGTGCTGTGATTCTGTGAGTTGCCATTTGAGTTGGGCAACTAAACTCGTGTCAGAGTCTTTGCATGCCAGCCGATCGTTTTCGAGAAGAGAATGAAGGCTATCTTGAAATAGCAGAGGCTTACCATGTATTCGACATCAGTTTCTGATCTTCGATGCATCAATGTAATTAATTTAACGACTCACGCTACTAGCCATTGGGTCCCGCAAATGAAACATCTGGGCCTGGCTGGATCCAATATTCGGATCAAAGCCTGTTAATGACTGTGGATTAATTTGAGATAAGAGGTCGATGTATCCGGCGGGTGAGGTTGTGTCGTTGAGTGACATGATGGTATGAGTTGAAGTCAAGAAAGGAAACTCACCAAAAACACACCAAGTCCGGACATCTGTAATGCTACCACCAGCTGTCCAAGATTTTCTGGACCTATCATCAGATCCAGACCTTGATGGTTATCAGGCTGATACCAGGTGAGTCTTTGCTTCGCAATCGAGATCTAGATCTATTAATCTTATGTACTAGCATCAATACAAATGATTCCAACGACTCCACCTGTTCTAGCACACCCGTCATGACCTTGTCCGACGATTTCTTGCTGGATCCCGACAATTGGACTTCTGATCCTCTCAGGGCGCGTCTGATGAGGCTGAGGGATTTATTACAACAAGAGTAAGTTTTAATTTATTTCTGTGACATTTTAATACAAGTTAAGTAGATCTACTCCTACCAAACCTACGCCCATCCTCCCTGTTGATGACCCGAGCAGTGTGACCGAACCAGAAAGCGAACCCGAGATAGCTGCACCTATGCCCATCCTCCCCGTCGACGACCCGAGCAGCATGACTGAGCCAGAGAGCGAACCCGACAACCTGCCCCAGCCTACCATACTGACTCCTACCCTCCCCGTTGATGATCCAAGTAGTGTTACTGAACCGGAGAGCGAACCCGAAAACCCGCCCCAACCTGAGTTCACCACACCGATCAAGATCAAGGGCGCAACTCCAGTTCCGAAAAAGAAGGGCTTCTTCGACACTCCAAGTCCCCCAGGGCCTGATTCACTCTATTGGAAGTATGTCTCACGCGAAGAAGACGAAAAATGGTATGATCGTTCAAAAACAGACTCCAGCTTTCATGCAGTACGTTCAATGAAACAGCAACTCAAAGACATTAGTTAGAAATGCATTGTATTGTATGTAGTTGACATGATCACACTTAATGAAACGCTTTGGTGCGATCAACTTCCGTCTGATGGGATCAGTGTGATGGGATCAAGGTAGTCTGATTGTATCAATGTAAGGTATGCGAGGTATGCGTATGACATCATAAATGTACTCTACTAGTCCTCATCAGGGATATTATCCTCAGTGCCGCCCATCCTGATGATATCCAGCCCTGGACGCTCTACAAGGTAAAACAACACTCCATCAATGCCGGGAAACTGATGTGGAATCATGGCGACCACTGATTGGATATGAGAAACTTCAATGAGTCGCAATGATGCGTCGCCACGATATGTGCATGCAACGACAGTCTGGAATGAGCGCTCCAAAAGTTCTGGGTGTGGCGGTCCATATTCTGAAATGAGTGCGAAGGTCTTGTCTTCATCGTGAATCGTCATGTTGAAATAAAAAAGGACTTCTGCAATAGTTGTTGTCCCATCAATGAATAACTGTAAGACACCAATGTCAGATCAGCTGAGTAACTTAGAAACTTAAAGCATACCTTCACATTTCGCGCCATCCTTGGCTGCCTAGTCATTGCAAGCTCCTTCCACGCAGATCGTGCGACCTGTCCATTGGGAAGTTGAAGTCGAGCCCACCTAATGATTCGAGGGGTAGTAGGAACATGTATGTCTTTTGCAGTGAGATATCGAAGAATGGCATCGGATTCACAGCGCCGAACTGTGTGAGGAGTGCGTTCTCGACGGCGTAACAGCACGTAACCGTTTCCTAGGTCTTGTGAACCTTGTGGAAGGTTAGTTTTTGCGGGTTTGATTGAGGGAATGATGACTTTGATTGCATTGACTTGACAACGGCGTACAGCACGTTGAGACAGATTGGCATAGACAGATGTGTTGTGAAGTCGGATTTCTTGAGCTAGGTTGCCAATGGTCTGCTCCATTGTCCATTGTGACGAACAAATTGGCGGTCCCTTGTTGATAGTTTCAGGGGCAATATGTAATGTAGAATGGATCCATGGGCAAACAAAGTGAAGGCGATCTATGTGGCGTTGGTAATAAATTTCCTCGAAGTCTTGCGAGAAATCAATGAGATGCTGGTGAGCATCGACAAGATCTGATCGGGGGATATGGTACTGTTGCATCAGACGCATTCCGCGCACAAGATGACACAGATTGGTCCAGTATGGGGTGGGAAGGATACCGAATAGTGTCGCAGGTGCCATTCTGTATAAGTAAAGGAGCCATTCCCATGCCTTGTAACCACTATTAATCTTCTCGGCAGGATTACGAGGTGGTCGGTCAAATGAGCCTGGCAGAAAGGGAGTTGCGCTAGCGATGATGGATCCATGTGCTTTCCAGGCATCCTTCGTGAGAACAGCCCAATCCCATGTAGATTTGTCGTCTGTGGGGTCTGCCCTGAAGGTACCTCGCCAGAGAGGTATGAGAAGATCACCAACGTTGATGGCAGCAACGTGCATGATGTCCGAACCAAAACAGAGGGGAACAAGGAGGATGTGATCAGTGTCGAAGCCGCAGAAAATACTCGGTTTGGTGATTCCAGTCTCGAGCCGTGTCTGTTCATACTCGGCCGTGTTTCTGCACTTAATAATGCACTGTAGGTTAGTTTCATAGTCAAATGATCCAACAGAAGGCAGCTCGCCAACGGGAATGTCAGGGTGAGAGTCGGTTCCATCTGGCCGAAGAAGAGCAGGATAGTATGTAGGCCCGCCAGGTTTGTGCCGCCCAGGTAGACCACAGTAAAGACGGCAACCCATTTTGCCGTGATGACCCACAAGGCCAGTCAAAAAGGCCATACCAGGGCCGTCCGCTGTAGCTATGAATAAAAATGGATGTGAGGTAAAGGATATTTGTTGTGCTCCATTCCAGATGACGAGACCCTCGGTTTGGATGGCACGCAGATGATGGAGACCAGGAAATAAGAATGAGTCGAGGTTTTTTGGCTTTTTAGGGCCAGGAATGATGCCCCCGGGGATGACATACTTCTTCTGGTACCGTTCCTCTGGTGCGTGATCGAAAAGAACCCAGATGTAGATCCAACAGTCGGACTGTTTAGACTCGTAAAGCTGCGCACCGTCGATTGACAACATGAGCACAGAGTCTCCATCTTTGATTTGGCCTGACTGATAGGCTTCGAGATATTGCTTGCCGTGGAGTACGTCCTCATAGACATCAGGTATGCCTCCGCTAATCTTGAGTTCTTCGAGAATCTTCTGAGTGCGTTCTTCACGCCATCTCATTTTCTTTGCATGGTCGGGATGACGCCATAGAGCTTGCAGTTGTGGTCCGACAGGAAATGTATCGAAAGTCTGACGAGGGACTTTTTGCGTTGGCTTGCTCTTCTTTGCATCCCAACGAGATTCTCCGCATCGAGGGCACACATCAAGGTGAGCAAATGGTCCTGTGAATGCAAGACATGTGTTAACACACATGTCATGGACGATCGGAACGACACCACTCAGTTCCGCAACAGCTTGTTTGACGCAATAGTGGCTGAGGATGTTGTCTTCGGGGTGACATTCCATAGTTGCATCACGTACAAGGTTGTATGCATTGACTGTAAGGTTGGCAAAATAGTATTTCAATGATAATGTAAGATCAGGGTCCATAGCATCAGGAAGTGTACGTGGGGGATTTCGAAGTCGGTCAAGTGCCTCTGCAGGCAGACGTGCGTGAGGATCGTCGAGTGAGGCTTTGCGAAGGGCTGTAATAAAAGCCATGGCGTCTTGAGCATCCTGGAGGCACGCCATGCGGTGAAGTTCGTCTAAGTCTTCATCAGTCCAGCCCATCGTTCGTGTCTCTGCTCCGTTCCCCTCTGCTCCATTCCCCTCTGATCCGTTCCCCTCTGATCCGTTCCCCTCTTCTCCGTTCCCCTCTTCTCCGTTTTGATCGAGATCGTCAATATGATCAATAGGTGCCGCCGGTGGTTGTTGGTCTGGCTGTGTGACACCTTGAGAACCACGAGGTTGGTCAGAATTTTGGTCCTCTTCTAGAAGCACCTCATCAGGAAGCCGATTGTCAGGAAGCGCCTCAGGTATGGTGTCATACTCGAGGCCATCATACTGATAAAAATCTAGATAATATTAAATTCTCGATCATGATCGAGAAGAAGGACTTGTACCTTCATGAGCGTCATCAGGGTGGGGGTCAGGCTGTTCAGAAATATGTGAGTGAGCCTCTGGAATAAAACAATCGGACTTACCTCAGATGTATGCACTAGTTCTGGGCTGTCAGAACGTCCCTTTTTCTGATTTATAGGTCCCCCACCATTGAGATCTTCCTGAGGCCTCTTGCTGGACGAGGATGCAGCTGGTGGAGGGGTGCGTCGAAGATCTGGTGATGGGAGATCTGGCGCAATGCTCAGAGCGATCGGAGGAAGGAAGATTGATGTGCATCTGCTGGGCTTATGTCTGAAGTAAGTAGCTTTGGAAACACGTAAATTCCTCCCGCCTGTTTTACGAAGACAGGATTTACAGTCGCACACATGGATGATAGTGCCATCATCAAGTCTGTGCACGCCAGCTTCCATAGAGTCCATGATATGCCTTACGGTTTTGCAGATTTGGACTTAGTGATATTAATATTGAAATTGGCGATCTGATCTTAGCTTGCCCATGCACATTGCAAAGTGCATGTGATCTTTGCTTATTGTATGTTTTTTTACCTTTGCAAAGATTCTTGACATTTTGCAGACAATTTCATTTTTGACGTCTCGAATTTATTGAATTTCTATCTATCTCGTTTGGTACTTAGCTATGTATCTACATGTATCTACCTGTATTTTGTCGATTCTCACTGGGGATCAAGGTCTGCGGAGCTATGGTGCTGTTCACTTGTGTACTTTGTGCGGACGCCAAACCGACCTCAAATTTTTCATTAGCTATAAAACCCGAAATCTTCGGGTCCTCGAGTCTCGATGCTCACTCGCACACAGGTGAATGGTTGTGTACGTACGTGAAACACATTAGAGTCCAAATCATCATCGGATAAACCTGGAAACCCACCACACAATAACACGCAGGGGAGCATTTCGGTGTATATTATTTATCGCAAGCCTCGTGGCGGAGGACAAGATTCAGGAAGCTGTTATCTCTCGTCAATCTAACACGTGTTGAGGACATAGGACTGAAATAAATAATCGACATACCACCAGGTTGCTCACATCCCACTCGCATTATAAAAAGCTTTGAAGGCAAATAGATTTGGGCACAATCACCAAACATATCAGACTATCGTTTTTAACGCTATTCCCGTCAGTAACGTTTCAACATCGTCTGGTACAAGTAGAAAGCCGCCCGTTACTCACATGCCTACTAAAATCTACCCTCCATCATCTGTTGAAGCAACGTCAGACTCGTGCATTGAAGGTACGCAAACACCATGAAACCCGCCAGAGAAGCAATTTTCTCGACACACCTCTAATTTTCTTGCATCCCTCTTGAATATTGTATCCATGGCTAGTTCCAGAATCGTAGTGGCGCTTCAAGTACCTAAGAAACAAAATATGACGGGGTGCTCAAATGTCATCATCCGTGAGCGGTTGAGATAAGCCTAAGAACGAACGAAGGCAAACTTCCTCCTTGAAGTCCTGGTATATCTTACGGTTACTCTTGCGCTGATGCAAGTCCCAATATCAAGAGTTGTTGACTACGAGAGAAGAATAGGCACCTCGAGTTTTCGCGCTTCCTCCTCATATGGGTGACTCTGGTGCACGAGGAAGTGATCTGCAAGGATATAAAACAACATGCTGGAGAGGTACATCTCGTAGAGACAATCAGCCTTGTTTCCTCTATATACAACAAGAGTTCATCGCACCTGGAAAGATTGCATTAGACAGAACAAAACAGATTCCTGACTCGGATTTAGTTGGCACCATGGTGACCCTTCCTTTTTGAAGATCACGTGAGGCTCGTATGCGGGGGCGACGGATTATAATCGCGGATAATCGGTGTCGTTACGTCAGGCGATGGAACATGTCGATCTTTTTCGCCGTGACCAGCAATAGTACTATTCAACGACTGCTCGTCATCTAGGCCTGCTCATCACGGGAATTTTTTTTGGATCAGGCCATCTGAGTGGCATGTCCCTCCTTGAGAATTCGGCCAATCTTAGCATCTAGACTAACCCTGACAGCAGAACGGAAGTTGGTGCAAATGGCAAAGTCAACATCAAGCATCATGACAAATTGGGTGCAGGTGGGGAGACGTGCGGCATTCCGGCAAGTATTCAATTGACGGTCGAAGGGTGTGAGAATGAGGTGTATGTCGATGTAAATTGACATCACGGGCATTGACGTCTATAGGCCATGCAAAATATCCAAAAGGGCGTGTGTTGCACTAGGTTTTAC